GCCCGCAGGTGATTACGAGCGCACAGGCGACTACGAGCGTGGAGGCGATCACGAGCGCGCAGGCGATTACGAGCGCGCAGGCGATTACGAGCGTGCAGGCGATCACGAGCGTGCAGGCGATCACGAGCGCGCAGCGCGCCAGAGATTACTAGAGCATAAGCGATTACGAGCGCGAAAGCAACTACAAGCGCAGAAGCGATTGCGAGCGCAGAAGCGATTGCGAGCACAGGAGAGAATTACGAGCCTTGGTTACGACGAGTAGGAATTGAAGTAATCGTAAAAGCGATCTCAAGACAACCTTTTAGGGGGTTCACTCTCGAAATGCGACTGTCACGCTGCATTCTCGCCGTTTCATGCTGGCGGGACATGCGAACTCCCACGCAGCCCTCACCATTGGCCGTTTCCCAGCCGGCGAGTGGCCGTCATGTCCAACGTGATCGCGTCCGAGCCTGTAACCCTCGCCCAATCAGATCGCCCCAACCGACTCGCAGGCTTGAAATTAGGGTGAGCGCGCGACGAGGTGAGGGAACGAAGACGGGAGTGCAGGAGTCAGGACGGGCGGACGGAACGGAAGGAGCGGAAAGGGCGGAAGGCGGGAAAAGACGAGATAGAGAAAAAAGTTTGAGAGCAAAGGTCGCACAAGGGGAGGAAAGGGCGGAGAGGAAGGAACAGAAAAGTCTGTGGACGCGGCGGAAATCTCGGCGGGGATGGAGGGAGGCTCCCTCACCAACCCATCCCCATCACCCAGCCAATTTCATGCCATCTCAGGCTCACACACAATCCCATACCATCTCACATCAGGCCATCTCACCCACACATCATCCCATGCAATCATACATCCCATAGTAAGGTGACTTTTGGGTTCAGTTTGAGGTTCATGATTTGTTTTTTTTTTCCCGTGTACACATTGAAATTCTTAGTCATGGCTCAAATTAGACCTGAGGGTTGCACAGGACAAATCTGCTTCTGCCTCAGTTCACCAGTAGCATGCCTTACACACGCCATCCCATGTCATCACACTGCCCAAATAAACCATCCCACTTGCACAAACCATCCCATCTCATCTCAGAGCCCAAATCGGGCCATCTCACTCACACACCATCCCATACCACCACACATCCAATTACATGCCATTTCACTCACACTCACCATCCCATACCTTCACACACCGTATCAGGCCATCTCATTCACAGAACTCACCTCTTGCTATCACACTCCATGCCATATACTCTCAAACACCATCCCATACCATCTCACAGCAGATTTCATGCCATGTCAATCAGAAAGCACCAACCAACCCATGCCATGACACAGCCCATTTCATGCCATTTCACTCACACGCCATTCCATACCATCACACAACCCAATCCATGCCAACTCACTCACACACCATCCCATGCCATCACACACCCAATTTCATGCCATATCACTCTCACCCACCGCCATTCCATGCCATATCCCACACATACCATCCCATGCCATCCAACTCACTGTCCCATACAATCACAGATCATCCCATACCACCTCACATGACTCATGCCATATCACTCGCACAGCAATCCATGCAATCACATATTTTTTCCATCCCATCACACATAATATCCCATGCAATCTCTCACACATATTATCGCATGTAATTACTCACACCATCCCATACCCTCACACACACCTTCCTATCCCTTAACACAAACCGTCCACTGACCTTATACAATCCTCCACACCAATGCTAACACTCACACCATCCATCCACAAATCGCAAGGTGATGCATTTGTCCCACAGTGCCCCACAGAGAGGTGAGCACCAGCGTGGCAGTATCAAGGGACCCCCATGACCGCCCAGGTGTGTGCTCATGTGGTGGGGCAGATGAGTTTTCATGTGGTGGGGCAGAGAAGTTTTCAAGTGGTGGGGCAGATGAGTTTTCATGTGGTGGGGCAGATGAGTTTTCATGTGGTGGGGCAGATGAGTTTTCATGTGGTGGGGCAAGTGTGTGCTCATGTGGTGTGAGGTCTCACCTCAGATGGAGCAGGCGTGTGCTGAGACGGTGGGGGGGCTGTTGTAATGAGCTAGGATGCCTAGTTTAGCCACAGCCACGGCATCGCAAGTGCCACCAAGGTAGGAAGCCCATCAGCCCTTACCTGTCTCATTTCTGTGAAACTGAGCTGTCTTTTTTTCCATCTGTTTTTTTTTTTTAATGTGGATAAGTTGTTATAGTGTGTGTGTGATTTCTTTGTACCGTCCCATCCCATCCCATCCCATCCCATCCCATCCCATCCCATCCCATCCCATTCCATCCCATCCCATCCCATCCCATCCCATCCCATCCCATCCCATCCCATCCCATCCCATCCCATCCCATCCCATTCCATCCCATCCCATCCCATCCCATCCCATCCCATCCCATCCCATCCCATCCCATCCCATCCCATCCCATCCCATCCCATCCCATCCCATCCCATCCCATCCCATCCCATTCCATCCCATCCCATCCCATCCCATCCCATCCCATCCCATCCCATCCCATCCCATCCCATCCCATCCCATCCCATCCCATCCCATCCCATCCCATCCCATCCCATCCCATCCCATCCCATCCCATCCCATTCCATCCCATCCCATCCCATCCCATCCATTCCATCCCATCATATCCCATGCCATCCCATCCCATCACATTCCAGTCTCCATGGCTGTTTCCTCGCCTCAGCTGCTTACATCATTCCCAAGGGTCCCGTTCTCTTCCGCTAACAATTTGCTTGCTATGTCACTTGCCATCTCACGTTCAATCTCACTTGCCATCTCACTTGCCATCTCACTTGCCATCTCACTTGCCATCTCACTTGCCATCTCACTTGCCATCTCACTTGCCATCTCACTTGCCATCTCACTTGCCATCTCACTTGCCATCTCACTTGCCATCTCACTTGCCATCTCACTTGCCATCTCACTTGCCATCTCACTTGCGATTTCAGTTGCCATCTCACTTGCCATCTCACTTGCCATCTCACTTGCGATTTCAGTGGCCGTTTCAGGTGCCATTTCTGTTTCCATCTCAGTTGACGGTTTTTGGCATCTGCCGTTTGAGTTGCATCATTTGCTAACTCGCTTGCCTTTTCAGTTGAATTCCCAACTGTCATCTCAGGTTCTGTGTTGTCACCTCGGTTGCCATCTCTGCCACTTCCTCCTTGCCATCTCACTTTGTTACTTCGCTCCTCACCAGCAGGGCAGCTGGTTACCAGCAACACGCCCATGTGAATCGCTCTCTTTTTCTCTCCAAGCTCCCAAGTCCCTGCCCTCCTCCTCTGCTTCCCTTCTCTCCCCACCTCGCATTCTCTCCCATGACTCTGCTGCTTCCGTTCTCTCTACTCCTCCTAACACCACTCCCCTCTCATATACTTCACCTCCGCATTTGGGAAGCACGCACTTGTTTCTTTGCTGCCCTCCATCCAAGGTTCTCAGTCACATCACCTAACCCCATGCATTGCATTGCATCTGCTATGTGACACATGCACCCATGCAAGAAAGCACTCATGCACCCATGCAATCATAGGCCGATGCACCCATGCACCCTGTAATTTACGATTTTCATCAATCTGCCCAATACCTTGTTCTTGATATGTGACCCTAAACCCATCCACCCATTCAATCATTCAATCATTCACCCATGCACCCATGCACCCATTCAATCATTCACCCATGCACCCATATAATCATTCTCCCATGCACCAATGCACCAATGCACCCATGCACCCATGCATCCATGCACTTATTCACCCACGAACCCATGTACCGTACACACGGTCCCATGCAGGCACAGGCGGAGGATAGTGTCAAGATGTTTGACACAGCAGCCGGGAGCTGTTCCATTCGCAAGCTATCAATATACACTTCATGATCCTCTGGGAGCTTCTGCTTCGAAGCTTGCGGCATTGGCTGCGAAGCTGCTGAAGGTAAATGCCTCAAAAACAGCCACATCTCCAACTCTCAGCAGTTGGGTATAGATAACTGCACGAAACCAGTAAAGGGGTAGAAGCTTAGCATAGGGATACCATGCCGAAAAAGGGTCTCTAAGAGCCTAGATCGGAGTATACCGCTGGACTCCATTTTGCTGAAGAAGTGGTTGACGGGGGAGTGGGTTCGAAGGGTGGGTGGCGTGTGTTTTTTTTTAGCTAGGTTGACGCGTCCCTGTTTGGGCTACGTAAGGGAGGGGCTGTTTGCTTTCTAGGGTTCAAGTGTGGTGTTCCCAAACCCAGCGCCTCCCTCCCCCCTCCGTCTCACATCCCGGCCAGGAGCAGTTTTCGAAAGGGGGGGAGAAGGAGGCAAATTTTGCGAGAAGGAAGGTGGGGAGGGGAAATAGGCAGCTTCCCACGACCTCATATCCACGAGGGTAAATGGCTGTTCTGTTGCCATTTACCTTCGTATAGGTTCGGAGGGTAAATGGGAGGCTCGGATCCATTTTCCGGGCTGACCGGGCGTTTGATCCAAAAAACGCAGTTGGGGGAAGGTTCCTATTTACCGCCTCCCCCCCCTCTGTCGTGCCTGCAGAACGCAGCCATTGAGATTGACGTCTGTGTGCTGCTGAGATTTGAGTGTGAAAATTGTGGTATTTCCTCTTTCGTAAAAATGTTCGCTACAAGGCATTCATTGGCGGGTTTTGTTCTTGAACACTGTACTGTAACTCCAGAATTCAGAAAAAATGCTCTAAGGGGAAGCATTATACAGCAAAAAAATACTTCAGTTTTCCTCATCCGAGCAACCTGTTTTATTTTCACATCACATGCTTTGCTTCTGCAAGGTTCTGATGGTTCATCTCAGTGCACAGCATTGATACATCATGCAACATAGAATGTTTCTACCTTACAGTGACATTAGCCACAACCACAATGTGCAAGCTCAACTTCTCTCTATTTACACAACTCAAACAGCGTTGGCAGATGCCACAGTACTACCAACATAATTAACCACATCAGGGAATCCCCAGCAATACTATACACACTACATGGGCTCAACCAGCAATCTTGGTCTTTGGCTTGCGAAGAAGATCCTCCAGGTGCAGCGAGTTGATCTTGGCTGCCAGCACAAAGTCGTTCTCATGCAGCCCGCCTGCAAAAAAGGCAACGCACGTGGTCAGAGTGAGCATCCACTAGCCACTACTGCCACACCAGCTCGTGTGAAGCTCCACGTGGTACCATGATCGCGGCGTGGATAGAGCTTTACTGTAGCGATGTGAATTCAGCGTGTGAGGCATACCGATGGCGTGTGTGAAGATGTCAATCCGTGCATGGTTCCATCCCTCCAGGTGCAGGTCCGGGTGATGGCCTGCAGGTCACACAGCATGCAGTCCAAACAGCAAGCAGTCCACACAGCATGCAGTCCAAACAGCAAGCAGTCCACACAGCATGCAGTCCAAACAGCATGCAGTCCACACAGCATGCAGTCCAAACAGCATGCAGTCCACACAGCATGCAGTCCACACAGCATGCAACACAACATGAAGCACGGCAAAGACAATAGCGTTGAAATGGAAGCACAATATCCTACACATAGCACAGCACCGCACTACACTCCATCATTCATGCCATAACCGACAAGGCCACATCTCTTCCTTCCTATAAGCAGTTCGCATTGGCAAGACTTTGCCATTGCTACCAGACACACTTAGGGCATGGTGAGAGTTCGAGATGCAGTTTGCTCAAAATGCCGCACTGAAGCATGTCCAAACATGAGCCTTAGTTTGACCCCAAATGGCCCGTGTTCGATTGTGACGGGCTGAACACGAGATTTCTTTTCGGACCGGCCGGCCCATGTCAAATTGGCTTGGCTCAACAGGGGCGACCAGGGTCGGGCCGGGCCTCATTGGCTCAGTCGCTATGAACGACCACACCAAAGCACTTCAACCCGAACCGGCCTGGGTGGGAGGCCGGCCCAAGCAGGTCCCATCATTCTGGGCTGGTTTGGATTGAAACTTGGATCCCTGCTCATGGCTATGCTCCCAGCCTTTCAAAAAAAGTCGGGAAACGCACTGTGCCTCAGGGCTACAACACACTTACGAATTGGCATTCAAATGCAATAGGAGCTTCGTTCGATGAGCACTGACATGAGGCAGCAGCAGCACCCACCGTCCACCTCCTTTTGAAAGAGCAGCACCCACCTTCAGCCTCAGCGACCTGAGCGACCCGTTCGAAAAGAGTAAGGCCTGCGAGGAAGTTCCGTGTGCGCCACTGCCGGCGGATGCGCTGGTAGCCGCCCTCCTCCACCACCTCCCACCCCGCCACCTGCGGTGTGCACCGCACAACACCAAATACGAGCAGTCACAGCCCATGTAGTGGCAACATACATGCCACGCCATGCCCAGAGATGTTTCGTGGCAAGATGAAAACTATTTTGTCCCATCAATGCAAGATAGGAAAGAATATTGTGAAAAACTTTGAGAGTTACAGGGAGGAGGGTATGGGGAGCAGAGCGTTGCACGTGAGAGGGGCAAGGCAGTGAGGACAGAGCGATAATGAAGGTGATTGTCAACATGTGCGCATGTGAGAGTGCATGTGAGAGTGCACGTGAGAGTGCATGTGAGGGTGCATGTGAGGGTGCATGTGAGTGCACGTGGGCGTGCATGTGGGCGTGGATGTAAGAGGGTAAACAGGCTAGCAGGTCTCTCATGAAATCTCGTATGCACACCTTCATGCATCCTGCAAGTTATGCAAGAGACCTGAAGCTCCTAAATGTGGCAGCAGCTGTAGCAGCGCCCACCTGTTGCAGCAGGGTGGCGATGCGGTCAGCGGGCAGCGGCAGCAGCCCCTTGCCCTCACACGGCACACAGCGCCGACTCGCCAGAGGGGCTGGGCATTGAGGGGGAAGGGGGGAAGGGCGATGGTGTCATAAGAGGAGGGAAGGAAGAAGTGGGGGGTGAGGTGGAGGCAATGAGAGGAAGAAATAAGGGGAGAGGAGGGAAAGGCGTTCGAGCGGCAGCAGCACGGAGCATGCGAGTGAGGGAAGGCTGTGCATGAGTGAGGGAAGGCTGTGCACGAGTGAGGGAAGGCTGTGCACGAGTGCAACGGGAGGAGGGGAAGGAGGGGTCAATGCGAGCGAGTGGTTAGTCAACATTTTTGGGCTTGGTGGGGGGTGGCTGGGGATAATACTAACGGGTTGGTCACTAGCAGGGGAAAGAGGGTAAGAAAGGAAAGACGAAGAGGAGGGCTCACGAATGATGGGAGAAAGAGGGAGGGGTGGAGGGTGACGAAAAGAGGAAAGAGCAGGGCATGTCAAGTCTCAGCGTACCTCACCACCACTTATCACTCGACAACCAGTCACCACCACTCGCCACCGCTTTTCACCGCTCACCTTCCTCTGAGCTGCCGGCCATCTCCGCGTTGGACGGCGACGTCGCCATGGTCGCAACGCCACGTGGCTTCTCACCGCGGCCGGCGGCGGGGCACGCGGCGGCGGTAGAGCGCGGGCGCGCGGTGTGGGGGAGGTGCGACTGGGGGAGAAAAAAGTGGGGGAGGCACGAGCGGGGGAGGCGAGCGGTGGTGGCGAGGGCGCGCGGGCAGGCGAGGGAGGAGGAGGAGAAGAGGCGAGCGGCGAGGGCCATCAAGAGAGGGAGGTGGGGCGGAACGCGAGAGAACGTGAGAGAGCGAGAGTGAGCGAGTGGGAGCGGCGCGGCGGACGAGGTGATGCGGCTACGACGGAGCGTGCATGGGATGGAATAGAACGATAGTGGAAAATCGGAATGCGGTGAGGCAAGTGCCGCGCTTTGAAAGACACCACCACGCGGGCTAGGTGGGGCTCTTCTCGTCACTTTCAAGAAGGCCGCAAGCCGATGCGACTGACATGGATCTCTTCTCAGATGTGTAGATATGACGTGGAGTGACGGGTCCGAGTGGTGTGGTGACGAGAATGCTGTAACGAGGATGGCCTACTATGGTGTGCGTATTCGATGTAATTGACTCATTAAAGAGGGCGTCTCATATTTTCTCCGTTTTACAGTTGGTTGGATTTAACACTTGGTTGGCTTCTGTGACTGGTTGACGAATCACTAAATTTGTGATTAGCTGGGGTCGCGTTTCTGTCGAAACTGCTGCGATCAAGTGTTGATCGTTGCCAGGATCTACTCGGGAAGGTTCGCACAGAGAAATGAAGTTGGTGGGCCCTTGACCTCAATAGCAGAGTGGATGTAAAATGCTTGAGATGATTAAAACATGCAAATACAACGATATAAATAAGAGTATAGGGGAGTACGAAACGTCCTACCCTAAGGGGTACATTCCCTTATTCAAATTCATTCCCAACCGTGCGGCGCGTACAGTTACGAAACTGTTCCCGCCAAAGCCATCCTGCCTGCAGCTGTCCGATGCCGTCTGCTCCGACGGTCCAGATGTGCTGTAACTGTCTGTCAATTCTTAACCGTCTGACTCTTCGCGTTCGTTCTCGATACTGCATGCTTCTCTTTGCTGCGGTGAGGAGTGCACAGTAACATTCGGGTATTACTATTCGTAACACCCCCCTTCACTCCTGGCCGTAGCTCGACTTGACCTGCTTGACCACGCCGCTGAGTTTGGAGCAGTGCTGATACTGCTGGCGTGGCAGTCGCTTCGTGAGGAAGTCCGCTGCCATGTCACCGGTCGGGCAATAGGTCAAGTTGACCTTGCCCTTGTCTACTTCGTCCTTCACGAAGAAATACCGCAGCGCAATGTGCTTGGTGCGGTTGACGAAACCAGGTTTGTTCGCGATGCGGATCGCGCTCTGGTTGTCACAGTGAAGACGAAAGGTGGGCGAAGCCGGAATTTTCGCCTCCTATAGAAGTAAGTAGAGTCCTTCGCGAACTGCTGCGGTTGCTGCGATGAATTCCGCTTCGGCTGATGACAGGGCAACCAACTCCTGCTACTGCGAATTCCAGGAGATTGGCCCCGTTGGTTCGAGTCGGAACAGGAAGCCGGTCCTGGACCGTCGATTGTCGGGATCTGCTGCATGATCGGCATCCACGTAGCCGATGAGATTGAAGGATGGGGTTGGTGTAGTTGAGTAGCATAGCCCAATCTTGGGCGTTGAGACGAGGTACTGCAGGGCGCGCTGCAGGTCCAGAAGATTCTCAGCCGTTGGTTTGCGTGAGTACTGGGCCAGCTGACTTGCGATGTAGGAGAGGTCTGGCCTGCAGGTGACAGAGGCGAAGAGCAGGCATCCCAGCTGCTGCTGGTAAGTCTGAATTCCAGCAGGGGGTAGGGCTTTGTTGTCAGGTTTGTGGTTCGGTCCAGGGGTTCGGTAGGGAGTTGAGAGAGGTGCAGGTGAAATGTTGAACCGCTTCCCTAGCTCCTCTGCGTACTTAGCCGCTGAAAGGTGAATGGCCTCAGGTGTGTAAGAGATGTTGAGGCCTAAGAACTGCTTCACCTCATAGTTGCATGTGATGTCGACGCGCCCCGCCAAGGCTTTCTCGAACTGCTCGAGTAGCTCGTTGTTTGAGCCTGTGTAGAGCAGGTCGTCGACGTAAACCGTGAGAAGAATGTATTCGCCCCGGAAGTCGCGGCGGTACATCCCTGGATCGTGCGGCATCTGCTTGAATCCGATTTCAAGCAGGATGTTGTGTAGATACTGCTGCCACAGCCTCGGCGCCTGCTTGATCCCGTAGAGTGACTTGCGCAGTTGGCACACGCGCGAGTCCCCTTCACCGTATGTATGCGGCTGCTCCACGTAAATCACGGCGTCTACTAGCGCGTATAAGAACGCGTTCTTGACGTCGATCTGGCGGAGAGGTAGGTGCCTTGCAGCTGCGATGGCGAGCAGGATTCGAACGGAGGTATGACGGCTGACTGGAGCAAACGTCTGGTCGAAGTCAATCCCGTGCCTCTGGTCGTAGCCGCGCACCACCCAGCGCGCCTTGAAGCGCTCGATCGTTCCGTCCGCTGCGGTCTTCACGCGGAAGACCCACTTGCCCGAGAGGATTCTTGCGCCTTTGATTGCCGCGCGGTCGACTAATACCCAGGTGTCTCGGGACTCGAGCGCTTTGATCTCCGCGTCCATCGCCTCGCGCCACTCCTTGCTGTGTGGTCCAGAGAGAGCTTCGCGCGGGTTTCGAGGCTCGATGACACGTGGCGCTTTCGAGGTTGCAGTGTGAAGCCCGAGTAGCTGTAGTCCTGAGAAAGTGCTGTCGTGGCGATGTTGTGGGATGACTTCCTGCACATCGTCGTCATCGCTCTCTGGTTCGGGTGGCGCTGGTGGTGCTGTGCTTCTGCCGCTTCCGCCTGTTCCGCCCATTCCTCCTCCTGAGGAATCGTCGTCGTCGTCGCTGCTGCGCCGATCCTCCCATGTGAACTCGCCTCTTATATCCTGCTCCAGTATTGCTGCAACGGCTTTGTCTTCGGGCGTTGCGTAGCTGTGCCCGTCGTTCGCGTAAACGCGATTCGCGTTCGTTTCCTCGTCGTGACGGAATTGGTCGAGGAAGAGGCGCTCGTAGAAGATTACGTCGCGAGCGTGGGCGGTTTTCTGACTGAGGAGGTCCAGCACGATCCACGCTTTGTACTCGTGGCTGATGCCGAGGTGGATTCCCCAGCGCGCGCGACTGGCGAATTTGCCGATGGTTGATGTCGGCGGGCGGTACTGCACCATGCATCCCCACACGCGGAGCATGGAGGTATCCCCCTTGGTCCCGGTCCATTTGACATGCGGGGAGAGGTTCCCGGTGATTGCAGTGGTTGAAAGCAGGTTGTGCACCCGCACGGCGTGGTGCATCGCGTAGGTCCAGTAAATCGGCGGCAGCTTTGACTGCTTTATCAGCGCCCGCACCTTTGTCATCAGTGTGCGGTTCGTCCGCGCGGCTATGCCCTGCTGCTGGTGTGCGTAGGGGAGAGAGATGTGATGCTCGATCCCCTTTTGCGTCAGGTAAGTCTGCATTTGATTGCTCCTAAACTCCGCTGCGCCGTCGGATTGCCAAATTTTCAGCTTCTTCCCGGATTGCCGCTGCGCATGCGCCAACCAGAGGCGGAACACCTCGTAGGCTCTGTCGCGAGTTTCCACGTTCGCGACCCACACATAGCGTGTTTCAGCATCGATGAAGGTGAGTGAGTATAGCTCGTCGTCGACCCCGCAGTGCCCCACGTTGAGAAAATCGCTGTACACTTTGTGCAGCTTGGGGTAGCGGTTCGTTCCTGGCTCGAGCAGCGGGAACATTTGGTGGCTCAGCGCAGCTTCGGGGCAGACAGTGCAGTTGCGCGGATGTGTCGCTCCTCTCACTTCACTGCCATCTGGGCGCAGGAGCGCTCCAGGAGCGAAGACGCCTGCGTCGATGCAGTTTTTCAGTGTTGCGCGTGAGGGATGTCCGAGGCGCTGGTGCCAAAGTGCATCGTCGGCGCGAAAGCCGGAGGTGCGCATGTAGCGCGCGCGGGCTTCCTCAGGGTCTTCATCAGGTACGGGAGCAGGTTCTGCTGCTGCTTCCTCTGCATCTTCTTCTTCTGCCGCGGTAGTCAGCATCAGCGCCAGAAACTCTCTGTCACGAATCTCAGAGAGTGGAATGTTGGTCCCGGGAATAATTCCGGGGACGAAAGTGGGTTCGCGCGGTTCGGGAGCAGGTCCGTAGACGGTGCGGCGTGGAGTTGATGGTTCGTTGCCCCAGCGGATAGTGTCCCAGGGATCGCGGTGCGGCGGAATGTCAGGGGGAGGTGACGCGAGTGGGATATGGCGCGGGGGACGCCCGAGGGGAACAACTGCAGATTCTCCCCCCTTTTGTTCGTCGCGGGAAGTCTCCCAGCCTCCAGCAGAGGCGCCCCAGCCGCTCGTTTCGCCGCCAGATGCGGCGCCCCATCCGCCGGTTCCGGTTGCCCAGGTTCCGCCGGTGTTGCCCCATCCGCTG